GCTGCACCACGCCCTCTCCCGGCTGGCACTCTTCACAGCACTCCCCGCCGGCCGTGTGCTTCCCGGACTGGCACGGCTCTGTGGCTGCCAGGGCGCCCACCTGCAGAGAGACACGCAGTCGTTTAGTGGGAAACGGCAAGTCCAGTTGCACGCCGTACAGTGCACCGCTCCTGTGAAGACAGCTCCTTACTGGTTTCACTTCGAGTCCTGTGAGCGTGGTCGTGATCTTTAAATCCAAAAGGATGCTTCTGTGATTTTCAGGAGGGCAGGGTATCTTCATTCACAGGTTTGAAGCTCATTTCTTGTGTTTGCAAAAAGCTTAACAGTGCCGGGGTATTGGAACACACTGGTGACCTATAGTACAGTATACACGTTACTTGTCAAGTGGTGTGTCATTGTGTTCCCATGGATTAACACAGCAACTCATTGTCAAACAAAGGGGAACCACCGCAACGGTGTGGCCAAACCACGGTTTAAATACTTTTTAAATTTAAATTTTAAAATAAATTAACCGTAACACGTGATACATTTTAATAAAGGCACTGTCACCTCAGATATCTTTCTCAGACTTTCTGTTATCAACTAGTTCACCCTGCCTCCTTGGCTAACCCCTGATGGCTGAGACATTTACACTCTGATTCTGCCTCTCTTGTCTTGCCTGGAATAGTCTCCTATCATATGCTCACGAATACACCCCTGAAGGGAATTCCACTAGTCATTGTGACACCCCTGCCCCAAGGGGACTCAGTCAACACAGAAACCATGGATAACAGTGCATCCTTGCTTTGTTAGTCTGCCCCTGAACTAAAATAACATGCATTCCTATCTGACACCTTCACTTTTGAACTGTCTCTGATCTCTGTCTTAAGCCTTCTTAAAAGGAGACCCCAGAAAGCACTTCCATCTCAAGAGCAGCAGAACTGGGGGGTGGTGCTGGGAGGTTGGAACACATGATTTTCAATCTGTAAGGATCGTAAGATGTGAGGTATTGAACCAACGTACAACGAGCTGAGAAGAAAGCCTCCTGTCCATGAACTGTTACAGTAGCGATGTCTCTATTGTTATAGACAATGCTGCAATGGCACAGAGCTCATTAATACACATGAACATGAACTGTGAAAAAAGCTTGTATGTGATTTTAAGGGACAGAGCCTGTAAAGAAGACTGCAACTGTAGGTGATGGCAGGTGTCACTATTGCTTCCTAAGTTATGATAATGAAAATAGTGTATTGTAAATAAAAAGTGATGTGTATTCCCTAATGGCATCTTATCACAGTAAATCTGTATGTTTTCATACCTTTCCCATCAAGCTTAACACCAGACTACAAATCTCTACACTGTATTGTACTATTTTCGTGAGCATGTTATTTTACACTGTTTTTACTATAGTGTACCAAAGTAAACTTTAATAATAGAAAAACCCTTTTGGTTTGAAAGTAAGTTACGAGACTCATTTGGAGTGCATTACATTGTGCATGTGTCATTCGAAGTCACAATCCGAAATGCCGGCGAAGTGCACAAACAGAAATCTGAGGAAGCTGGTATCCCGGAGTCCCTGCATGCACTGCAAGGTTCAATCTGCAGCAATAAGAATACAGTTCATATGTGATCCACAAAAACTGAGTAACGGCTGGAATGTCATTGCTGCTTTTTTTTTCAAAGGCCCGGGTAGATTGAGTAAAATTCAAGACGTACAGATTCTACAAATACACCTGGATATTGTAAACATCTTGAGGTATTGATCATTTCAAATGTGCATCTAGATTCCAGCTTGAAAAAGGTCTAGGTCAAAGGACAACGAATCAGGACATGTGCAGACAGTTTGAACTAATGAGCTACAGGAGACTCTCTTGACTCAATAGGTTTCTTATAGTGGCTTCTCTCAGAAATGTAGGCTGTCCGGTGATTAAGATAGAGGTTGTGCTAGCAGGAGGTTCCAGGTTTAAGTTACAACTGTGTGTCAGACTCACTGGGTTACCTGGATTGAGTAACTGAGTCCGCTTCTGCTCTACCTTTGGATGTTCCTGCTGTGTGACTTTGGTTAAAGCTTCACTCATCCATTATAAGAAAGGTGCTTATTCCTAGTGAGGGTCCACCTAGACCCTGTCCCTGAAGAGATACGTGGGACTGCGGCCCCAAACAAATGGCCATCAACCACAGGTCACACAAGGACAACTTACAGACACAAATTCACCAGCAGCCAGCCAGCATGGGAAGCAACTGGAGCTCCCAGAAAAAATTCACATGGATTCGGGGAAAATATACACACAGAAGGTACCTTAGGCTGGAATCAAACCCAGGACCAGGAAAAGAATTTTGATCCCTCGTTCGATTTCAGGCTGTGCCTCTTGGCACAAAACTCTCTGGTTACCATCAGGATTGTGTGACACTTTGACTGACCCCATAGGAAAAAAACCTAAATCGAGTCACTCTTGTCCCCAGTTGGTATATTGTGAAAGTATGGTTTGCCAAGGTAAATGTACTGTACATGAAAATATACTTTCACCATGGTTCTCCTCTACCTTTTATTGCTATTTTACATTATTTTTACTGTTCTCCTATATTTTGTAGCACACTTTCACTTAGCTGCTCTTTTTTGCAATACCCTGGTTTACCATGGTAAATCTTGATGAGGGCTACATCGCACAAACCTTTTTAATGTGTTTCACATTAGCTCATGGGGGCTGAAGAGAGCAGTTAGGGCTATAGACTCCTTAGTTGAAGGTTATGAGCACCTGTATGCCATTGTACTCTTTCTCTCCAAAATTCACAGCAAGGAAAGTGGAAGAGAAACTTTACTTTAATCACATTTCGCAATGCTCAGTTGCAGAATCTGTTCAGTCCTATGAGAAACTCTTCTCAGCACATGCACAGCCTCAGGCAGTCCTCCTTAAAGTAATAATTCTATTTCACGTCTGCTATCAAACTTTGAAATGTACAAAAACTGCTTCACCTTAATTTTGCACAGACGCAATTAACATTCGTTCCTTTTTAACTTGTAAAATATATTATTGCCCTATACTATACACTCTTTAGAATGTATTTCATTATGTTAGTGTTATATATTTTTGTACAGCAAGAACAAATGGACATTGTGGTAATGTAACTACTGGCATGTCAGGTGAATATCTTTTATCTGAGACATTAACCTGCAGTTCTAAGGACACCAAAGAATTCAAACTGGTAACAAATGTGACTTATTCAATGCTAGGGGGCAGCATGGAGCAATTGGAAAGATTCCAGACCCATTACCTGTACTGTAGAGCAGTATTGGGATTTAAGTTCCCAATGCAAACAGTGCTATTGTATCCGAGAAACTAAACTATAGCCTGACTTCTGCATTCTGGGTACAAGAACTGCTGTGCAGGAGGTATTGTAGTTGCATTGCATGATTTTTCAGAACACAAGAAAAGCTCTGGTCCTTTGAGCCAGAAGGTCAGCAATCCAATCTGGTGCCCAGTTCTGGAATGTGCCAGTCCTGCTTTCTTTAAGCCCTGTTCTAAAGAACAGAGTTGACTGACTCATGCCCTTCAGCACAATCCTCCAGGCTCTGCGTAACTCGATCCTCTCAT